CATTTAGTTTTGCAGTGCGAATACTACTTGCGCTGCGAACCATCTGTTTCGTTGCTATGACAACAATGACCATGCATGCTAAGCTGTACCTTTTCGCGTGCACAGTCAGCAATGGCTTATAAAAACTCTACTACGAAAGCGATACTAGATGAATCCCTCCCTAACTGGACTCTTATTGGTGAGTTGCATCTTGTACAGATTACGAGATTTGCTACAATTATGTCGGGTCTGTGAGTGAGAAATTTCTAGACTATCACGACGTTCCATGCTGTTATGTATAGAAAATTGGCAAAATGCTAGGACAAGAATCTGAAACAATTAAGACAAAAGCTCAGTCCATTTGCACCGAAATCGTGCATGCGATTTTACAGATCAACTCACAACTTCTATTCAGACGAAATTTTTGTCCATTGAACATGTACAGCACACGCAAATAGTTATAGCAAAACTTTGTAGAAGCTGCTGCATGCTTAGTTTTGCCGTTTTTGATGTACTCGGAACTGCTTTCAGAATCCGCATTATGCTTATATTTGCAAAAGGACGGACACTAAAATAATTTCCTTGGAGAATTTAGTCATTTTCGTGGACGAATAATGGTAGAAGCAATCTACAAATGTTATAAATGCGTACTATCTATGTATAGAGTGTCTTTTATAAACATCTCTTCTATATCTCAACAGCTCTTTTCTGACTGAGTTTCAAGCAGCTCCTGACTTCGAAAAATTAACATAACATAGAACGAAATCTAAGTGAACAGGTTTGATATGTATATTCATAAATTATGTAAGCATTATCCTGTGCTTCGCATTGTTGGTAAAATGCTTCATTCTATATCAAAAGGACCAGCAGGGGGAGGGGAGTCAATAACATATCTTTGTTCCAACCGATTAGCTGCACAAAGATGAGGAGTAGAGGGATTGCTTTGTTCTGTAAATCTTTGTATGTGAGTTTACACTTTCACTTTATACTTTACTCAAAACAAGCTTTTCAGATGAAATTTCACTACCTTTACTGGAGAGTGGTCTTGCACGATTTTCCACTCTTCAAGCAGTGCTACCTTCGATCCTAGCATTCGATGCAACTTCGCAAGAAGCAGCCCAAAGAAGTCAGAAATTACTACGAATTTCTCAGTTACAAATAGAGCATTTGTTGGTAAATTTTGTTGAGCTATACCTGAAGAACATCTGCAAATTACAGTTTTTCTAGAATTCACAACATCATTTATTGCAAAAAGTTGCAAAGCTTGATGAAGAACTGAAAATCAGAAGAAAAGAAGTGAAACAATTGAAGGCAAACGCCGTCCAAGAAACTGCATCGTTCTTCCAAGTAAGTTATGCTTTTGGTCTCCTTAATGAATAACGCAGAGCTACTTAAATAGCGCAGTGGCAGAAAGTTTGTGAGTAGGAAGAAGAGTGAGACTTCTGAGAGTGAGAGTGAGACTGGTTACATG